AAAAAAAAAACCATTTTGTTGTATTATATTTTATCTTCAATCGGTGACATCAACTCGATAAAGATCAGTTTCTCAAGTGTTGGAAACTTTCGCCAAAAAGTTCGGATCGATTATGGTGGTCTGATACGCAAAAATTTTCCATTCGCTTCGAGAGCATCGAAACGAATCTTGGTATTATCTTACATAAATTATCCTCAATTATTCGTCCTACATGATCGTAGATTTTATACTTTGATTTATTACCGTTACGCTTTTCACATCGCATGAATATTCATTTACAGAGTATGTAGTTCTTCCTCTTTGATGAGATTAATTTTACAAGCTGTAGAGACACATTTATATTTTCAATAAAAAAAAAAAAAAAAAAAAAAAGTAGCCGATCGATCGCTGCGATCTCTTTTCTCTTTACTTTCACCTCGAAAAGCACAAACCGATAAAGTGCACAAAAAAAAAAAAAAAACGACTTCGTAAAACAAACTGGATCGCCCCGTGGTAAAAGTGGTAGCGTGACCGAGACATTGTTAATTAAGCGTCGCGGGGTAATCCTTTACGTCTCTCAACATCTTAAAAATTAATCACCGTCCTATCTGTCCCTTCTAATCCGTCAGATTAATACTTCATGCCGATGCAAGGGACTCGGCGACAACTTGACCCTGCGATTCCATGGCCGAGGGGTAGGCGAGAGAACGATTCCGGGGGTTTCGAGGGCGGAGCATCCCTTATCAGCACCGAACACTCGTGCTTCGCGCAGCCTCCGTGGCTTCAATGACTTTTTGACGAGAATTCACCCACCGGTCTCGTCGTTCTTGCTCGCGGACGTCCTTGCTCGATACTCATCTTGGAATATTACCAAAGGATATCTTATCTGGTTTTTTCTTTCTTTCTTCTTGTAACACCGGAGACGCGATTTCGACGAAAAACAACAAGCCTTCTCGTCATTCTAAGGCTTTAGAAAGTAGCTACGGGATATTTGAGGATAATAAATAGCTACGTGTGTGTGGGATTTTTTTTCTCACAGTATATATTGCATATTGCATAAGGAAAAAAATTGATCTTGTGGGAGTTGGATAAATAATCGCAATTGAGGAAGGTTTGTGATATTGTTCAATAAATTTGATATGCTGTCAGTCGAATGGATTAAAAGGAGTTACGGTATATGAGAGATATTAAATTATTACGATGTGTTAAATATTGTACACATTGCCGGCTAGATATGTAGTACGAATTGCTTTTCAGCGTTTTTATTGTTTTATTGCAATTCGCTTCAAGCAATAAGTAAAATCACCTTCTCAAACGTGCTGTTCGTAGTGATAAACTTTTAGGCAAACGTGAAATCTATATTTCTTCATCTCTTTGGAAATCGTTCAAATACTGAATAGAATAAAAATTTTGTCAACAAAGTTTTTCCAACAAACGTGAAAGCGTCTTAAGGCTCAAGACTTACTATTGTCACCAGCCATGAATAATATGAGTGTCAGCAGCTAAAATTTATTTACTAAAATTGGTATCCTTTTTTTTTTTTGTTTTTTAGTACGAAACTGCAACGAACCACTAATTTCTCGCGTTCTCGTGTATTTTCCTGTACCGGAATGAAATTGGACAATTTCAGGACGAATTCGCGACTGTCTGGTAGCAGACACACACGTGGAAAACAAACACTAATAATGGAATTAATATGGGGCGACTGGTTGACAGCGATAACGAAAATTGATTTCACCCCCGTGCCCTTCGGGACTACCCTCCACCCCTGTGTCGTGCTCCTGAGGCTCGCTGCTGGTATGGGGATTCTATTTGAACGCGTTGACGTTTCATGGGACACTGCGCAAACCCGGCGACACGCCTCTTTTCTATTGGCACAGCCTGCCGACGATAATTCTTCTACGTGCTCGACCATATTCCATTCCCAGTGTAGCTTTTCCATGCTACTTCACCGATTTCAGATATCGGTCTCTATTAATAATTCGTGCCCAATTCGCACCAATGGTCGATCGATCGATAGCGTTTTTCAAATTCTGCATCCCTGTGACGCTTTTCGTCTTTCGAAACAAAAGCACGAGAAGAGAAATTTTTTTAGGATTTTTATTTCACTAATAATTTTTAAGGAAAGTTTTGCAGATCTGATATTTCAGAGAAGTTTGTAAGCTTTATGAATTAATTTATTTCTTTCGAATTTGATATTTGTTGGAGTCGTCAAGAGGATAATTAGCCTCGATAATCTTTCACGCAACTTTTTCGTTGCGCGCGTGATTTTATTGGTGTTCAATGACCGCATTTCGCCGAAGATAATTCTGATACCTAATTCGTATTCGTCGGCACGCGCAAATTGAGCTGTATGTTACTGAATCTGTGGGAAACCGCTACAAAGCGACTCACCCCATGCGACTTTTTCTAACCGCGCTATAATCACTATATTTTTTAGGGCGCCTTTGTACGTTTCATGGGAATTCATTCGACGGACGTACGAATTCTCGAATGACCATAATTCACTAAAAGTAAAATGTAAATTACATTAAATACAATTCAGATGTACTTTCCCCCCCTTCATTCTTCTTCCTAGATAAAATGTCGCGTTTTGTCGCGCAACAAACTTTCCCCCCAAAAAAAGAAAAATCTATTCATCGCTCTTGCAGATACGTATCTATCGTTATTTATTCATATTTTACCACACTTCTTTGTCGGAGCGCTATCACAGACCATATGTGGCTGCAATAATGGATTAGCGAGGAATGGAAAAAAAAAGTCACCCCTCGAACTTCGCGAATAAGGCACGCGACTGCATTCAAGGGTGACGCACGTGTCATTTATACGCCTTTTATTTTCAGATTAAGGCGCCGATAAGGTTAAAACGCGGGATCCTAATAGCGGTATTAAAAATGATACGCGCGCTCTTAAGCCGGTTTCTTAAGCGCGTCGCTTTCCAAGTTCCGATGTCTTTCTAATCGCAGATCTCGCTTACCTCTTCCGCAGTTTCGCGTTTATTCGTAAATTGCACAATCAGAAGTTGCACAAGCGAGCTGTGACGGAGTTGCTTTTTAGTTTCATCGTCTGTCGTTCGGATAACAACGAAGAAGGAAGAGTTTCGTATAAAGCTGTCCTTTCGTTATCGGTGCGTCATGTGCATACATATGCTCGCCAGTGACTAAATCTGTCTCCACCTTCTTCCTGTTTCGTCCCATCAACATCTGCCTCGAAGATGCCTCTCGTATAATTAAATGGCAAATAACATCGGCCTGTCTCGTGCCTTATCTAATCGTCTATGTTATCAAACTCGTGCTGATCTCCATTTTTCTCTTCTTGTCTTCAATTATTTGTACGCGTTGCGGACGAATGCTCATCGCTTTCGCCTCAATAACGCTGCATTACGCAAAATAACGACACGCGACTAGGCTGATGGCTAGAAAAATTCGAAATCCCATTTAGTATTCCGCATTTAGTCATTTGTTGCGCATTTTGTCACGTTTAACACTAGAACTACCACGCCAGTCATTTTGACTGGTTTGACAACTTTATTTTAAAATTACTACTTCATGT